GCCCTGTGTGAAATTCTTCATTTTATCTTTGAATTTGTGCTTTGCAAGTGAAGTCCAATGGGACTATGAAGTATGAACCCAGAGCGTAGAGCCTTCACTCACATGCTCCCTTCCCTCTCGCTGCTGCCCAGGACTGATTCTTAGTCAACTATTCTTGGGGCTTAGGAACTCCATGGTGTCTAGCTCCCCCTCTCACTCTTACCCTGAAACCAGGAGTAGCAACTTGGTCACATCAGTCAGGGGAGAGGCCCACATGCCACATCTGCCATTGCCTTTTGCTCTTGGGTGAGGTCTGTGTGGGGACATGGGGAGTGTCAGGTGCATGTCCCATGCTATCTCAGGGTAGTGTGAAGTTGTGATCATCTCCACCCAAAGCTGGCAGCACCAGGGTGCATTCTCAAGGCAAGGCAGCAGGAGCCTATCACCCACCACCAATCCAGATACCAAGAATTTCCTTGCGTGAAAGTTGCATGTTCTTAGGATTCCTGGTTTGCAAGTTACTGTGGTTTAGAGAGCAGCTTCTTGGGAAGAAGAGATTGACTTCTCCACCCCCAGCTATTTCTGTTATTTTGCACTAGGCTCCACAAACTACAGAGCTGGCCCTACTTATAATTTTTTCCCATTAACCCAGTTCCTCTCCCTGTTTTTTGATGAAAGTATTACCCTTCACCATATCTCCCCAGGCTTAGAATCTCTGAATCACATTGACTTCCTTTCTCTTAGCCAAAATCTACACTGTAGGATATCTACCATCTGTTCCCTGTTGCCCATTCCCACTGTTCCCTGCTTTGTTCAGTTGTTCATTATGGTTCCATCAGACCATCATAATAGACTCTTAATTATTTTCATAGCTTCAAGCCTTTCTCTACTGAATCCATTTAGTCACTGCCACTGAGTTACCAAAACACCACTTTGATCATGCCAAGATGTTTTAAGGGCTCCTATAGCCTATTGTTAGCAAACCCTTTAGCCAGGTGTTCAAGGTCCTTCCTTTTGTCACCTTTCTTTTGCATTTTCATGCTATAGTGCATGCCATACTTTGGCCAAATTGAAGCACTCACTATCCCTATATTCATTTGGTGTTTGCTCATCCCTGTGTCTCTGCTGAAACCATTTTGCAGTACCAGGATCACTTCCCCTCATTTCAAAACCATCTCCAGCTGGGACATCTAAACCTTTTTACAGATTGAATGGCACCTCATCCATAAAGTCTTTCATCATGACCTGAGTCATGTAGTATCTCCACTCTTCCCTGAGAGTAATTACTATTTAGTTCTACCATTTAAGGAAAGCTTGGTGTTAGTCGTTTGGTAGAGTATATGATCTGCAACTGTAAGCACTTGAAGGACAAGGAGCAGGTCCTCTCACCATTGTACACCCAGAGGCTCCCTACTCAGGGCCTTGGGTGGAATGGATTTCTGTGCCTATTTGTTGAATCCAATGAACAAATGAATCTGTTGTGTAAACAGATCAGGTCTTCTGAAAGCCTAGCACACCTGGAACTCTTCTGCGTCATCCCCTTTCCTCCTCTCAGTTCACCTAACAAAACATTGTGCTGCTTTTCAGACTCAAGCCCATCAAACACCTGTATCGTCATTATCAACAGGAACACAAATTCATCTCACACTTTTTATCAATGTTTAAAGTGCTATATCCTGAATGCTTAGAATCATCTCAAAAAGAACACCTGTTATTTGAGTGCTCTTATTTTCAACCTCTTGAGGGCAATTTATTCATTACTGTATTAAAGTGGGCTGTTTAATAACTTATAACTGTCAGGGGAAAAGTAAATTACAGTCACCATGATCATACTAGGTACCTGAAATGAATTTGTTTTTTCCGCTTTCAATTCTTTACTTTTCTCCTAATTTCAAGTCTGTTTTCAGTACTAATTATGAAAAGTAATACAAAATAATAAAATAAACAGAGGGGGTGTTTGCTGCCAAACATAATCAACTTTAGTATTTCATTAGATAGTCTACCCTTATCTTCGGAATGCCATGCTTCTTATAGTTTTATAAGAATCTTCCAGACATTTCTTTTGCTTATTTTATGAGCCCCCAATGATTAAGACCATTCATCTAATTATCAAGTGATTAAAATTTGAAACGACGTGTGGTAAAAATTTCATCTCTCAAAGAGTAAAAGTACACTAACTGAATGTGAGCAAAAAATTCCTTAAAAACACATTAATTTATAAAGAATCAGGGAGGATGATTATATCTTACATAAAAAAACATCAAGATGTTTACATATATGATAAGAATTAAAATGTGTCATAATAAAAGAACATACATTTGGAAGGTTGGTAATCTTCATTAACAGAAATCTGTAACATCAGGAAAGAGAAAGGATAAGAAAAATGCTAGAACTGGGGAAGAATAAAACATTAATAAAACTCTAAAATTTCATATTGAATGAGTTACCATGAGGAAAAAGGTATAGAACTTTTTGATAGGCTAGGATACAGTCAGGTATTATCAACCCATTTAGGAGAATCTTCAATAGAGAGTGGAAGAATAGCAATTTCTACATTCCTTGAATGTAGGACTGATTCTAAAATACTTATGGGAGGAACATGGCTCAGGGAAAAAAAACTGGCTGGTCAAAATATGCCTAGTTCATATCTCAGTCCAGGAGAAGGGGTAAAACAATTAGACATGAGATGAAGAGTAAGAGTACTGGCAAGCTAGATGGCATCAGCAGCATAGACTGTTACCATTCTTAAGTAATAGCAATGTGTCAGGTACTGCCTTTAGGAGCTTTAATCAGTATCTCATTGTTGTTCCTATTTTGTGAGTGGGAAAATTGAGACTCTGAGAGATTAAGAAATTCTCTCTAGGAGATGCTAATAATAATGATAATATACTAAAATAAAAATGTAGTTTTATCAAAGAAGAGTAACATAAGTAAAATTAATAAAAACATACAAATATTTATATACAATATGTACATATAAATATATATAAGTATATATATTAGAAGCCAATGGTGAAAGAAAAAAACTTTCTCACCAGATAGAAATGAAAGTAAGACGAACCAAGAACTTAAGCTCCTAATCCATGTAAGACCCTTCCCCTACCTGCCTCTTTCCAACCCTCTAGCAACCTGGTCTTATTTATTATCATCATTACTACACTGAGAAAAGAAGCGGGGGGCGGGGAATGAGACTCCCATTTCTCAATGTCAGCTTCAAATATTTTCATATTTTTTTCAGTCAACTTTTCTTTACTGCCTTCAGAGTAAGTGCAGAGCCCACTGGAAGCAACAGCTGCTGAAAACCAGATTTTCTATGCCCGTGATAACAACCATAGCCACAATTCTAGGCAGCAGGCAGACAAGTCAACTGCTGAGGACAGGAATCACGCTCTTGGAGGAAAGGCAGAATATGAACAATATTAAATAAATGTTAGGAGCTGAACAAGGACAGCAAGAAATAAAAGCTATCGAAATAAGAGAAAAGCAATTGGGAATGGATAAGAAAAGTAAAGACAATGAAGAAAAAACACTGCAATTCTAATTTTTAACAAGTACCATTCAACTAGCAAGAGATTTTTGTAGCACACCATAAAGACGTGGGAATAACAGAAAAGAAAATAATTAGTGGTTTTTAATCAATATTTTATAGACTCTTTAGCATATCAATTACTAACTTTTTCATTTCTTCCTATGACTTTCTAGGACTGTAGAGAAACAGATACTTGTTGAAAATTATTGATTGATTGCTGAACCTAAACCTATCAAAGTCTTCAAGAAGGACATAATGAGTAATGCAGTAATCAATAACAAAAGGTTAACACAAATGTCATTTTCACAAGTATTTCTTAATAGTAAAGGGTTATACTAACAGCTCACAAAAATACGAGATTTTGGTTTTAATACAAACCAGTTTTCTATGTAAAATTGCAAACTTGCAGATGAAACTGAAAAATTTAGTTAATGTTCTTCCCACCACTTTTGTTATACTGACCAACAGCAACCAAACTCTAGAGAAACAAGTATCTCTATAAGACAACTGGAAGAAATAGTCCTCAAATAGTCTTATCCAAGGATAAGAACTTTTAATTCTATGTACCCTGAAGAAGACTCAGAAAGTGACATTCAGCTTCCTCACATTCAGTGAACAGATTCTGAAGAAATTAGAACTGACTGGCTTTCAGATCCAGCATCCAATATCAAATTCAAATCACTGTGAAAATGAAAAGGTCAGAAAAACCAGACAACATATTGGGTTTCTTTTTCACTTGAAACTAGCATGTTTACCTTGCTGTTTGCCTTTGGAACTGCAAAAAAAATTATCAATATTTTTTGTTTATTTTACAAATTAAAACCCTACTTGCTCAGTGCTGTCAAAGCTGACTGCAAATAATGCTATACTCAAGTCTAAACATAACTAGTTCCTCTATTTGTCCAACCTCTATAAACTCAACAACAGACACAATTAAAATAGATGTCAATAAGGCACAAAGGGGTCAGAGGCCTGTTCTTCCCCTGACTTTCCTCCTTTCTTCCTCTTCTTTCTTACCTTGGGATTCATGCAAATTTAAGCTAGAGAAGGGGATAGGGAAGTAGTTGGGTACTTTGTTACCTTTCCAATTTTGAATTAGAGAATGAAAAAGCATTGTGATTCCCCAAAACGTCAGATCAGAAAATATCCATTGTCTTTAGCCTATCTGGAATTCTGAATTAGACACCTTGTTCTAGCAGTTCACAAATGCATTCTAAAACCATACACCAATGTTCTTAAACACAGATCTTGACAGAGAAACACGTGGTATTATTGAATGATATATGAAATTCCCATAAGCCACTTTGTGTTAGGAAAAAACATTACATCAAAGATGTTGTAACATTCTAGTCAAACTCAAGAAGGAATTTAAATTGCAAGATTGTATTGTAAGGAGTTTAAATTAATGTGTTCCTGGGTGCCAAAAGGTAACAGAAGGCTTGGCTCCCAAGCTAGCTGGCCTTGGGGAGAAGAGGACAATGCGAAGTCCTACCTGGTAGGCATCAGGAATGTTGACCGTTTCTCCATGCTCCCCGACATAGCCAATGATGCCTTTGCCCCAGGGGACCTGCACCTCATTTGAGTTCTCTGTGCTGCTGCAGGGCAACAATGGGGTTCCTGCATGCACATCAAAGAATTTGGAGACCAAACTCTTCTTGCCAGCAGCTGCCCCTTCCACTAGGAAGAGAGAGCATCGGTCAGCGTCCACCATGAGACAGACAAAGATGAGGATCTTGTAGCTTAGGCTGGTGAGGTCAAGGTCATTGGAGATATCCTTGACCAGTTCCAGGAAGAACTCACGTTCATTGTGCTTTTTAAGGTGACACTTGTAGTCGATGGCCGTAGGGGGATACTGAGGCAGATTCACCCTTGATTCCAGCAGGGCACTGAGGATGTGGGCTGTGGTGGGGGGCAGGGAGCTGGCCTTCCGGAGAAGTGCCCTCCTCCGCACACTGCTCAGAGGCTCCTGGGCCCGGGAGGTCACCTGCTCATCGTAGGTCCTGTTCACATGGATGGCCTTGGAGCGAGCAAAACTCTTCCTCAGCTCTTTCTGAGAGGCTCTCCGCTGCAGACTCCCATCGCCCCGGTTGCCACTAGCCCAGCTGGAACTCAGGGAAACCCCACCACAGTCCCCACCACCGGGTGTGAGCTGGCTGTTGGTGGCTCCATGGGGTCCAGCGCTACCACCAACGCCGCTGCTGCCTCTGCCACCACTGGGAGCCAAGCTGCCGGTGCCAGCTAGAGTGGGCCTCGGGCCTGAAGCCCCCTGACTCTGACTGTGCCTCTGCAGCCACTTCTCCACCATCTCCTGCTTCCCCTTCCGCATCAAGTAATCTTCAAACAACTCTGGGTGCCTGTCCAGGAAAGTTTCTACCTCCCCGAAGTCCAGGTGGGAGGCAGTCATGGTCCCGGGCCCGGCTCTCCTTGCCTTTCTACCCCTGGACCAAACGTTTACCTGCCCCGAGGCCTCTAGCTGTTTCTGCACATGTTTTTCTGCACCAGTGGTCCCAGCTTGGTGCCACCTCTCTGGCAGCCAAAGGTTGTTCCCAGCAGTGGAATCCCAGCTGGGAGCTTCCCCGTCCTTCTGTGGCTCACTCACAGTGGCTGGCACCGACCCCACCCCTTCGTCCTGCCACTGCTGCTGGGCACAGGTGTGCGGCCCTGGGCTGCTACCGCGGCCACCGCTCCTGTCGCGACAAGCCTAGCCACGGCTGCTTGCTTTCCCTCCGGCTGCTGCCGCCGCTCTGCCGCGGCTGGAACCGGCTGAGTGGACCACTGTGACAGGGAGGTAGGGCAGGACACGCCCCTGCGCGAGGCACCGAGCCCCGAGGGAGGGGAGCGCGGGAGGAGGCGGGCGCCGACGCCACACCAGCAAAGCCCTCGGCCCAGGATGCTCGGCGGTTCCTGGAAGACTCTCTGGACAGCCAGAATCCGCGCCTGGAAACACCGCCGACTCCTGATTGGAACGCGAAGAGACGGGGAACGCACCTAGTTCCTCCCCTCCTCCCCCCTCACCTTCCCAACCCTCCCGCGTCTCTGCCCCTTAACCCTCCAGCGTTTCAAGAAGGCCCCTCGGGAGCCCAGTGGGAGCCCAAGTACGGAGAAGTGTTGATGTTTTCCAAGATTAGAGCCCAGAAGCGGACTCCGAAGAAATAAGAATGCTCAGAGGCAAAGAAGAAACCATAAGATGCTCACTTTTCTGGAATGAGATTGTGGACTGTTGGTTCCCAGGATTCCTGGGACTGCCCAGTACCTGTGGGTGTTCACTAAATATTAATGGAAATGACTTTCCCTGCAATTAGCAAATGAAATTCTCTATGTGGGCAATTCGTGACTTGAACCAAATTCGGGGACGTGGGATGTGCATGGGAGGAAGGGCACGCATGGGAAGAAGGTGTAAAACAGTTACTAGGATTTAGGGAGACTCTGCTTAGCACTCAATGAAGTGGGCTTGAGGGCGGCAGGGGGCTTCCAACCAGCCAATTCTGCATCCCAGGAAGTTTCTTTTCCTTTCCTGACTGACTTTGCCACCTCCTTTGTCCACACAACCATACAAGGCCACCCATGCTTCCTTCACTCCCAACGTCCTGGGACTTATGTCTCCTCTATGGAAGGCTTTTCTTTCTTGCCCTGGGGCCCTTTCCCAAAGCCAGTGGCTAAGCTAGATGATAGCCAGGAAGGCAATGCAGGCTGATGACACTTTCTTGAAGAGGAGCAGGTTGATGATACTTTGTTGAAGCCCAGGGCTCTTCTCTTCTGTGGGAAATGAAAGCAGATGGAGAAGCTGAGGCAGCAGGATAATCCAGAAGTGCTCTTGGGCCACTGCCAGTGATTAAGAAAAGAGCTACAGAAGAGGCAGGTGGACTCCATGTGGCAGACACACACTTGCTCTGGGAAGATGTCCTCAGAGTTAGGCAGACAAGGTGTATTGAGCACTTTAAACTAGGTGTTGATCACTTTAAACTAACATACTAATTTCATCCTTTCCATAGGTCTATGACATGGGGACTTATCATCCCATCTTAAAATGGGGAACTCTAAAAAGTTGGGTAACTTAACCTAAGGCATACAATCAGTTGATGCCAGAGCCAGAATGTGGGTCCATTTTAGTTTGGCTCCAGAGTAAGACACACTCTTAGTCACATCACTATTTGCCTCCCACCTATGTCAGCTGAGTCCTGTCTATGTCAGAATTTGACCCAGTAACAGAAATACAGGGAATACTGTAGAATGTCCTGTAAATGCTCTTTTCAGAGCACCAGGATCAGCAGAGGGAGGCACTTGTTCAAAATTTCAAATTTCCCAGCTTAATTAGCAAGGTAAAGGGCATAGCCTTGGTACTGGGATATAAGTGTGGATAAACAAAAAACAAAAGAAGTGTTCAGTGCTTTTCTTGCCTCTGCACACAACACTATGCCAGCAAGTAGCTTTTGTTGTTGTTTTATAACAGCTACATTGAGATTAAATAAAATATGGTACATCCATACAATTCACATACCCTTCAATTCACTCATTTAAAGTGCACAATTCAATAAACTAATATACTCACAGTTGATTACTTCGTGGTACTTACATTATGGTGAGGAAACAGCCAGAAAATAAATACAGAGTTACAGAATGTTAGAGAATACAGAGTAGTAGAATGTCAATGAAGAAAAACAAAGTTTGGCAAAAGATTAATAAAGGGATGAAGAGTTGGAAAAACCTTTTTTGGGGGGGAGGGGAGTGGAGGGACACCTGAGCAGAGACCTGATGGAAATGAGCAAATGAGTTATGTTGATATCTGGAATGAGTGTATCAGGTAGGGTTTGGTGGCTTACACCTGTAATACCAACTACTTGCCAGACAGCAATCAGGAGGATTGAGGTTCGAATTTGGCCAGAGCAAAACTGAAAGATCCTACCTAAAAAATAACTAAAGTAAAAAAAGGTCTAGAGGCATGACTCAAGTGGTATAATGTCTGCCTGGCAAGCATGAGGTCCTGAGTTCAAACCCCAGTACTGCCAAGAAAATTACAAATAATATTTACTCATAAAATACTGAAAATTAAAAAAAAAAAAAGAATATACCAGGGAGAGGATGCTGTAAGTGCTATAGTTGCTAAGTGAAATGTGTTTGGAGTATTTGCAAAATAGCAGGGAGACTAGCTAAGAGATATCGAACCAAGCATAGAAGTTTGATAGTTTGGAACTGATGGCTACCAAGAAGGTAAGTGGTGATTAAGAATTAAATAAAGAAGAAAGTGCTTAGCACAGGGCCCATCACATAGAAAATGATCAATAAACTTAGCTCTTCTATTTCTTTTATTTGTTCATTACTACCCACATTTAAAAATGGAAACCTCACTTACTGATGAGTCATAGTTCTGATCACTTGAATGACCCATCAGTAAAGATGGTTAGAGGTTTGCTGGGACTGGCTTGTTTTACTCAGATAAGTCTATTTTAACCACTCTTTCCAATTATGTGTTCAGTCACACCATATAGTTTATAATCACTAGGGATGGTAATGTATATACCATGGAAATCTGAAAACATTCCAAGTAAGGATTTTTTTTTTCACAGATTACTGGTTGTTAAATAATTACCAGTTGCATCAATTAATTAATGGCTAAATAAATTATGGTATATTCATACATATTTAGTCATCAAAAGGAAAGAAGTACTTGACACATGCTACAACTTGGATGAACCTTAAAAACATTATGTAATGCAAAAGAAACCAGTCACAAGGGTCACATTTTATATGATGCCATTGATATGAAATGTTCAGAATAGGAAATCCATGTTGACAGAAAATTGATTACTTTCTGGATGGAGAAGAAGCTAAGGGATGTGCGGTTCAGAGTGGTAATGAAATATTCTAAAAGTGATTGTGGTGATGGTTGCACAATCCATGAATATGTTAAAGTTCACTGAATGTACACTTTAAAATGAGTGAATTGCAGGTTACTCCAGAGGTACCTGCACACCCATGTTTATTGCGGCCCTATTCACAATAGCCAAGTTATGGAAACAGCCAAAATGCCCCACTACTGACAAATGGATTAAGAAAATGTGGTATCTATACACAATGGAATTTTATGCAGCCATGAAGAAGAACGAAATGTTATCATTTGCTGGTAAATGGATGGAATTGGAGAACATCATTCTGAGTGAGGTTAGCCTGGCCCAAAAGACCAAAAATCGTATGTTCTCCCTCATATGTGGACATTAGATCAAGGGCAAACACAACAAGAGGATTGGACTTTGAGCACATGATAAAAGTGAGAGCACACAAGGGAGGGGTGAGGATAGGTAAGACACCTAAAAAACTAGCTAGCATTTGTTGCCCTTAACGCAGAGCAACTAAAGCAGATACCTTAAAGCAACTGAGGCCAATAGGAAAAGGGGACCAGGAATTAGAGAAAAGGTTAGATCAAAAAGAATTAACCTAGAAGGTAACACACATGCACAGGAAATCAATGTGAGTCAATGCCCTGTATAGTTATCTTTATCTCAACCAGCAAAAACCTTTGTTCCTTCCTATTATTGCTTATACTCTCTCTACAACAAAATTAGAAATAAGGGCAAAATAGTTTCTGCTGGGTATTGAGGGGGTGGGGGGAGGAGGGAGGAGGAGGAGTGGGTGGTAAGGGAGGGGGTGGGGGCAGGGGAGAGAAATGACCCAAGCCTTGTATGCACATATGAATAATAAAAGAAAAAAATAAATAAATAAAATAAAATGAGTGAATTGCAGGGCATGTGAATTAGGCCCTCAAGAAAGCTGTTACAAAACAACAACTGCAAAACCCACTTACCAGCACACCACTGGTCATAGGACAGCAGTACTATTGTGCATGGAGGCAAAAAGGCACTGGGCATCCTCAGGGAAGAGAAAGAAGTAGACCAGCCCTGGGCTGCCTAGAAACAAAGACTTCATAATCAGGCATTTCCATGTATTCATTATATAAGCAGTTGTTTAGCATTTTTCATGTTTCAGGCTCTGGAAACAAAAGGAGACCAAAACAAAAATCTCTGCTTTTTCAAGTATGTACGTATTTTGAATTGTGTAAGATATATACTACATTTTACCACTATAAGGGCACAGTTCAGTGGTGTTAAGTGTGTTCCACTGTTGTGCAACCATTGCCACCATCTATCTCTAGAATCCTTTTTACTTTATTTTATTGCAGAATTGAGCATAAAAACTCTGCTTTTGGTTTAGGACCTCAGTGTAAAGCACCAAGTAGAAATAGAGAGGAACACTGGGAAAGGTGGGGAAAGAAATAAGAGAAAGAGAGCTGGAAAAATGAATTTGGCATTTCCGGCTTGGTTTTGAATTGGCTGTGACTATGCTTCCTGCTTGGTACGTGAGGTCACTAAAGGGGAAAAAGTGAGACAGCAACAAAGAACACACAGAAGACAGTCCAGAGGGCTGTGATGAAAGGATGTATAATAAGAAGCGTATTGGAGTGTCCCAGTTGCCATTTCTCAATCTATAGAATTGAGAATTCAGCATAGTTAAGCACAGTACAGACAGGAAACAGAACACATTCAAATTAAAGTAATTCCAAGGGGGGTAAATTACACAGGTACTAATTAAAAGGTAGAATGTAGAGAAGCCATCAGGATAGTGAGGGAACCTGGAACCCACAGTAGCAAAGAAATCACCATCCTTAGAAGGGAGAGAAAAGGAGAGAGAGGAAGGTTACCAGGACCCAGAGTGAAAGAGGCT